GTGAGATTTAGCTCTTTCAGTCCTTGTATCTGATGTTGCCACCAGTGACTAACCTTTAAAGCCGCAACCAGATCAGCACACACTGATACCAACCACGGCAGGGGAGAGGAAATTAGGAAAATGAGGAGATATTTTTTGGGAGTGTTTCAAGCAAAGCGGCACAGCAGGGAATCTGAGACGGATGATCAAATCTTAGATCTGGTGCACTCGTGGACTGCTAAATAAATAAAATAAGCACAAATATTTCAAAACCGGTTTGGTTGATGATTCAATTGGCGTGGCGATGGACTGTTTCACCCCCGGGGTATCGCTGCCTCGCTCTCTGATTCTGTGCTGAGCCTGAAGAGTGGTCAATACCTGCAGGCCCTTTCCACAGGGCCAGAGGGCTGTGTGTGTGTGTGTGTGTGTGTGTGTGTGTGTGTGTGTGTGTGTGTGTGTGTGTGTGTGTGTGTGTGTGTGTGTGTGTGTGTGTGTGTGCGTGTGTGCGCGTGTATGTGTGTGCTGTGTCAGCATCCACTCAGGACTTCATCAAACAACCCCCCATACTTCGACTCAACACACACCCACAGTTGCTCATTTTCACTTTCCCTCCTTCTCACACACACCATACCTCACACACACACACACACCATACCACACACACACACACACACACACACACACACACACACACACACACACACACACACACACACACACACACACACACGTTCCCGGCCATCCCAACACCGATGTTAAATATCATTCAAATGTCAGCCTCCCGTATTGATTGGAATGATAATTCTGAAAGGTAGGAGAGATGGCTTGTTGATGCTAAGCAGGCGTGTGACGGCCCTGAACATCCTTCACTGTCACAAAGTTGCCCTGTAAGGGTTCCCGGCCCCCCTGGCAGGGAGTGCATCGCGGTGTACGTTAGACCACCGAGGCCGTGCGTTTCTGTCATTAATCATTGTCCTCACGGGCCGAGACACAGGACGGGCAGGATTCATGCTCAGAGAGAGGGGGAGGGTCACTTTAACGCCCCGAGATCATAGACAGGGAGTGTTTGTGAGCGTGTGTGTGTGTGTGTGTGTGTGTGTGTGTGTGTGTGTGTGTGTGTGTGTGTGTGTGTGTGTGTGTGTGTGTGTGTGTGTGTGTGTGTGTGTTGTGGTTGTTGTTGCAGTGTTTGTGTGTGTGTGTGAGCGTGTGTTTGTGTTTGTTCATCGCCCGGTGGCAATACATTCTACAACATATAGGCTGCTTTTATTTAGAGTCTGTTAAATGTTTTGTTTGATACTGATTAGTGTTGGCTGGTGTCATTTACATTGACTGATTTTGGCAACTTGAACTGTTTTTTGTCTTAAATGTGACAATAGGCATTGTTTTAAGGGATATTTTTTAAAGGATTAGTCCAATTAATCTGTAAACAGACATGTATTTTCCACTAACACCTAGTACTACTGTAGCCATAAAGACAGTTCATCTATTCATATTTTCATCTGTGAGATATTTGCTGCTATTTTCATTTCATTTCAAACCTTTATTTATCCAGGTGTATCCCATTGAGATCATTGATCTCTTTTTCAAGGGAGACCTGGGGGGTATACTACGAAGCTGGTTCAACCTAACCTGGATATGTTTGAGTTAGCCGGTTGCCTAATCAAAACATACGGGCTCTCTCGCTAACCGTACTACGACGCGGGTTTATCAAGTGGATCGCTCCAAGGCCAGCCCTGCCCTTATCTACTAGTAGTTAGGTTTGCGCGTTCACATGAAGGGGGTGGTATCTGGAGCATTCGACCAATCCACAAAACTGGAGAAGCATACTCACAGCGCAGCGTCATACTTCCTAAAGAAAGTCAACTATAATATTAGACATATGAATAGTTTAAACTTTAAACATCATGACTTAAACACTTACCAGGATAAAAGCCACATAGCTTGCACCCTGCAAGGTGAATCACAGCTGGTAAAAGAAAAGTGTTTTGATGCGTACACATTAACAGGGTTTTATGATATCAACTGCCCGTCTAAGACAATTGAGTGGGATCCTGACTTTTGATTTTACATTTGTCTCTAGTGGTTTCGTCAACTTAATGTTGTTGCTTAAATAATACTGCGTACAGTATGTGAAAACCACTGGTGAGTGGTTGCACGGCCCGAAATACGGCTCAGCTGATTGCAGATTAAGGAAATATATGATACATATGATGTTGATTATGCCCACAGACTGTACTGTAATGTGCCTGATCCGGTTACTATGTTGTGGAAGTATTAAGTAAGCTTTCTTAACTGCTAAGTGTTATAATAGATCCAGATTGCCTGAAGATGGGGGTGATATCTATTAATCGTTCACGTTCTACAATCGGTGATTTTGCCGGCCGCTTCTGCAACGGCAGCTTTTCTTGATTTCCTTCTCCTGTAAAGATGACGCTTAACTCCGCACACTGAGTCTCTGAGGTCAGGCAGGCGGTGCTTCACTGGTGAGCTCTGTAGCCTGCAATCTACTGCCCGGGGCAGGTTAGCCGCACAGCATAAGTTACCATGGAAGATCTAGCCTGCTAAAAGAGAATCAGCTTCGTAGGAACGGAAATCCCTGAGTTTTTCCCTGAAGTTAGCCAGCTAAGCGAAAAATCCTGCTTCGTAGTCATACCCCCCTGCTCAAGTAGGTCTACTGACACATAAAACATAAACAGAACAACAAAAAGGACATCAACAGCATATTACAGGGAATTTACAATTAATAACTATCTCACCATGACAGGTACCACAGCTTGCCGATGACATCCAACCAAGCTTTAAAAAACATTTAGTGGAATCGATGGCTCAGTTTCTATCTTTGTTTGTGTCTCTAAAATCTTTAAAACAACAAAACTTTGGAAACAATTAATTGTTGGAAGCTGTCTGTACTTCCTACTGAATAAAAGTCTTTAAAGTTAATCCATTTAATTTAACACCAAAAACATCCTTGAGAGGGAAATGCTGTTATTTTCTTTGTTTAGGGTTATCGTATGTCACAATATGCGCGATGGGTATAACAAGATATTGATTGCCAATCTGTGTCAGATTGAAGAAATCAATCCTAGGCATGTTAAAGTGTGATGAATCGTAGCCATGAGGTAATTGGAATACATATGTAAACGAGAGTAGAGCAGCATCATGGTCTCATATAAACCCACAGATTGTTCAGTTCCATGTGCACTTTTCTGTGTTGCTTTTTGTGGACTTAATTAAAAAGGGTGCCGCATATTATTTGCGTCCAAGCTAGTGTATTTTGCATCATATAAACGTATTTGATTGATTTGTTGTAGACTTGGGTATTACTGGCATTCCCATTGTGAATTTAAAAACAAGCAAAACTAAAAAACAGACAAAGTCTTAATCTGAATTTGGGACCACCGACTTTGGTTGGCAAACATTTTAAAGAAAAGCTGCAACCG